TATCTATCTATCTATCTATCTATCTCTCTCTCTGTCTTTCTCTCTCTCTCTCTTTCTCTCTTTCTCTTTCTTTCTTTCTTTCTTTCTCTCTCTCTCTCTTCCCTCTCTCTCTTGTTCTTTCTCTCTTTCTCTTTCTCTTTCTCTCTCTCTCTCTCTCTCTCTCTCTCTCTCTCTCTCCAACTTTCTCTCCCACTGAGAGCAACAGATCATCATTGTCATCTTGTCTAATCTTAAACAAAACAAATTATATCAAACAAAATCCTGCTGTTCTAGCTCAAGTGAACATGACGCTGAGAGGCAGTGTTTGGTCTTGTCTGGTTTTATGTTATTCCATCTCATCTTATCTCATCTCACCTCACCTCACCTCACCTCACCTCACCTCACCTCACATCACATCATCTCATCTGGACTGGACTGGTCTCATCTCACCTCACCTCACCTCACCTCACCTCACATCATCTCATCTTGTCTGGACTGGTCTTATCTCACCGAATCTCATCTCATCTCGGCTCATCTCACCTCATCTCATCTTATACCATCTCAAACAAACCTCTAACAAAATCCTCTTTTCCTAAACTCAGGTGAACGTGACGCTCACAGGCAATGACATGTTCCGCAACATCTACGTATCTAAGACAGGACAACAGACCTACGACTCCGACGACAGGGTTCTCCAGGTCACGGTAAGCGGACCACCCTCCAGCCGCCCACCTTTTTTGTCCAACTTCCCTTTGATGTTCGATTTTTAAAAGAATTAATTGTTTTATTTAGGTATTTTGGTAACTTTTTTTTACGCCCCTGTCGACATAAACTATACCATTTATTCCAACTTCCCTTTGAACTTTTTTTTTTTTTTGGGGGGGGGGAGGGGTTGGGTTTGTGTTTTTGTTTCGTTTTGTTTTCTTTGTTTTGTTTCGTAAGGAATTTTTTAAACGCTATTTTTACGTCCCCATAGACACAACTTAGACCATTTATTAGGATGCAGGTTTCCTCAACGTATCATCCCATCTGTATTTATTAACATGCTGTATACTGTTGCATTGTAAACAAGGGTTGAAGGAGTCAGAATTAGCTTATTGTATCTGATTGCTAGTTCGACCATTGTTTAAGTAATGCGGCTACAGGAGATGTTATGTTGAGCTTAAAACTGGTGACACGAAACATCTTACCTAACTCCTCGTTTGATCTCCTTATTATATTAGCCGTACTCTCCCTCAATTATTACTGTAACGTTTTGGTCTTAGTACAAATGCTCAATTATTCTGAGATCTCCAGCACCTATGTCATGCTTTGGAAAAATCAAAGAGTTTTTATAATAATTATAACCCCGGAATGTTTCTGAGTGTTATAGGGTATGCTGGGGTAATAATATGGTGTAAAGTGCATAGAGCTTGCTGTCGAGGGGGGTATGTGCTATGCATGCCACTTATTTTATTTTT